CAGCGAAGGGTTTAACGGCGCCACCACGGCGTTGGAGCTCACTGGGACCGACCGTGTTGGTCTTCTTTCGGAGGTGTTTGCTGTTCTAGCTGATCTGCAATGTGATGTGGTGGAGGCTAAGGTTTGGACTCACAGTGGCAGGATTGCTTCCTTGATCTATGTCAAGGACTGCAACTCAGGTTCTCCCATTGAAGACCGACAGAAAATCGATATCATTGTTGCACGGTTGAGGAGTGTTCTTAAGGGAGACAATGACATTCGTAGCGCCAAGACTTCGGTATCGATGGCGGTCACACACCCCGAAAGGAGACTGCATCAAATGATGTTTGCTGACCGTGATTACGAGAGGAAGCCTATCTTCAAGTCGAATGCCAACAATTCCCCCGCTGTAACGGTTCAGAACTGCACCGAGCGAGGTTACTCGGTCGTGTATGTTCAATGCAAGGATCGAACGAAACTGTTGTTCGATGTGATATTCACCTTGACAGACATGGAATATGTGGTGTTTCATGCCACAATCAACACTGCAGAAGAAAGAGCATATCTGGTATATGTCATTCTCCACACTTGAGAGTTCAAACTAACCATTTTCAGTTCGGTTTTTGTATCTTATGGTAACGTTTTCGGTTCGGTTTTTACAGGAATTCTACATTAGGCACAGTGATGGAACCCCGATTAGCTCCGAAGCTGAACGACAGCGAGTTATCCAATGCTTAAAAGCTGCAATTCAAAGAAGAGCATCTGAGGTAAATATTGATTTTGTTTTCTTTCTTATCATTCTTCCCAACACCAAGCTGATTAACATTGTCTATTGCAGGGTGTGAAGCTAGAACTATGCACAACAGACAGGCCAGGCCTTTTAGCCGACGTGACAAGGACATTTCGAGAGAACGGTCTAAACGTAACGAGGGCCGAGATCTCCACCACAGATGACATGGTTCTAAATACATTCTACGTGACCGATGCAATTGGAAGTGCAGCTGATCCAAAAATCATCGAGTCCGTTAGACAAAGGATCGGATTGAGTAACTTGATAGTGAAGGAACTCCCTTCGAGTTATCATCAAACAATAGAGAAGGAAGAACAGACGCACGGAGTTGGCGGGGCCGTGTTGTTTACTCTTGGAAGCATGGTGAGGAGGAATCTATACAACCTAGGACTGATCAAATCATGTTCGTGAAAGAGTTGGGTTCGATTCGATTCAAAAGAAAAGCCATTGAGAGAAGGATTGAGAAGTATTGTTTGCTTCCTCTGGTTATACGAGTCTGTGTATACAAAGAACTTAGACAAAGAAAGGAGAAAAGGTTGGTTTTAGGGATAGTTTGGTTTATTTTAGTTTCTTAGGAACATATTTTTTGAAAAGCTTAGAAGATATGAAATGTTATGTAAATTGGGTTTGTTGATGCACAATCACAGAGACATTATTTTTTAGTACACCTTTCATCATAGTCATGTAAATACCAAATTTTATATTAATGGAATTCAAAAAAAACTAAACGTCTTTTAATCGACCCATTTCCATTGGTCGCCTCGACGATTCAAGCTGTCCTTTGATTATAACTATGGGATCGGGCCCGACTAATGTTCTCCTTTCTCATTGTGAAAACGTGGAATGCTCAATGTGACACGTAACTGGAAGGAGAAATGTGGGAATCTTGTGAGCTTTTTCTTCCTCTTCGTGCAACGCCAACTATCAAATTCAAATAGGGGGAAGAGCTAACTTAACCTTCACGTGACAATAATAATAATTTTAAAGCTATAATCGAACGTATTCAATTATATATGTTTATTTCTTCCATTGAAAAACACAAGGCCTTAGCTTAGAAACTGTCTTCTTGGCATGTCTCATGCAGCTTAAGTTTTAATAATTCATATTTTTGCATCTAATGTCAACTCCTACTAGTTGACTTTTCATTTTTCAACCTCTATATATATAATCATTTAATTTACTAAATATCATTTCTTTTTCATAAAATAATTAAAAATGAAAAAATGGAATCCAATGTTTTGTGATATGTTTAAATATTAGTAGAGATAATTTGGTAGGATTATATAATACATTGGAAATCTTTTATTTATTTAATTTTCAATTTACCTTTTATAATTAATTAAATCTAAATTTAGCTACTACCATTAAAAATATACAAAAACAAATTAAAAAATATGAATAAGTAATAATTGAGGTCTTTGAAACAAAAATTAAGAATATAAAAAAGTTAAATAATTATAGAATATATTGGTAAAAAGTTATGAACAATAAAAACACATGGCAATAATATTTAGAACATATTCTTTCCTTGGTATTTGGAATGGAGAATTAAGTAAGAATATTAATAAATAAATAAATAAATTATCTTTTAAGCATTTATTCATATGCTTTTTTTTTGGAGGAAATGATTATATTATTTAAAAAATAATAATAATACCTTCAAGTTAAATTACCTTTTTAAATAAAGAACAACATTGCAATAATAAAGTAACATGCCATTTATAACTAAATTATATTCCAACTTTAATTCAAATAATACACTTTTAAACTTTGGATAAATAATTTTTAAAGAAAAAAAAAAGGAATCGAGGAATAAAAATGAGAAAAACAATGGTTTGGATTAGATTCAAAGCCGAAATAATGAAGTGGGTATGATAGAATCATATGAATAAAGCAAGCATTATCGTACCCACTTCATTATTTTGGCTTTGAATCTAATCCAAACTCGTAAACCTATTAACCTTCGTTCATATATTAGTGGGCCAAATGTGTATCGACTCGTTTTTCGATGTCTTCAATTACATATCGTCACGTGGAGTTAGGTAAAAAGAGTGATGAATTGGTTCAATTTTGTATTAATGGGAAATAACTCTGTGGAGCTAGTTTCTAAGAAATCCTCGTAAGAATTGTATTTAGATAATGTGAATAGTTTACCGCTTAATTACATTTATTGTCTTATAGCTTTCGCATGCATGATTTTGTGAACTCACATTGATTTAGGGTTTTGGATAGCCCGTTGTTGCCTAGTTTTGCCCGGTTATGAGTTGGACTAATTGTTATGTGTCATAAAGTGTTAATTATGGTTTTGCATAGATTATGAGTTGATATCACGTATTTTGGTCCTAGCACCTAGTCATGAGTTCCATAGTCTCCTTGAGTTGGCCAGGTACCTTGTAGTGCGGATAGGACATAAACCCTTTTCGTGAACTAATCAACAAAGATTAGGGTCTACTTGTTACACATGACTTAGTTGTCATCCCATAGAGGATATCAGTAGCCATAGAGAGTTTACTATTGCAATTCAGATCGGTGGTGTCTAGTGGGGAGAGCCATGGTTTTTTTTATTGATCCAACCTGAGTGACGTAGTGATAGGTAGTTTACTGTTCGAGCTAGAAAATGCGAGATAGTTATTGTTCCTAAGACAAGTAGTTTTACTGTTCTAACCCAAGAGGGCACATGAGCAAATAGTTACTGTTCCAACATGGAATGCACATAATGACAAATAGTTTACTGATCTTAGGGATAAATAGATGTTGCCCGACACGAATAGAGCTCTGTAGGTAGATAGGTATGGAACGAGATCACCATGTAAAGCACAAAATGGCTCATCTATACTAACGAGCATTACCATAGGGCCTTTCCATGGGTCACAGTGACTCGAGGCACTCCTCGCACAAGATCGATGAAGGACCTAGACATACGTGACACCTATAGCTAAGAGAAAATAGAAAACTCCTAGGTTGTGAACCTAGGAGGGATTGAGAACTCCTTGAAAGAGGTACGCTGAGGGTTAGTTACACATTGAACTATAAAGTTTGGTATAGACATTAAACCGACATTAAGCCACAGTTTGGTTATCAATAGAGACAATTATGAGCACATAGCCTAAGTTTCCGTGTATAGGATTAAGTCCTACAAGAATCTACAAGTAGGTTGCTTACCGAGTATTTTTATACTCGTTTCAAGTTATCCTATTTTTTTAGGTGAAATGTAGACTATTGTCCGTGGCAGGAACGTGCGACTGCAGGAGGGGCACTTAGATCGAGTCCTCTCCACCCATGTCACTTTTAATATCATTTTGAATGTTTAATTTGAAAATTCACGTCATTTTGTAAACTATTTTTGATGTGACTCTTGGGATATTGTTGTACTTTTGATGTGTCTTCCGCTTTATAAAAGAAATTTTTTTTATCACATTTTTATCCTTGAGTCCGCATTACAAATCGTAATTCGAAGTGTCGAAAAGCGGTCGTTATATCTACCATTTGTCTGTAAAAACAAAGAAGAACAGAAAATGAATATAAAAGTACTTAGTAAACAACTTACTTGTGGGCTCTCGTCGTACTTCATTATTGTGACGGCCTCTTGAGCTACGAAGGCTCATACGTACCTAAGCCACGATACGCTCCTACTCTAGGGGTGTATACTTAGCTCTATGTTTTCGTTTTTCAAAGTTTGCCATCAACTTTGCGCTAATTATGTGTGAGTCAAATTGCCATTGCAATGGGCCATCGGGTAAGTCTCATGTGTACGAGGCACACCGTGATCTATGAATAGACAAGTACTTCAACCGCTGTCCCCCATAAGTATCTGTCTACTGGGTGCTCCCCAATAGTATACCCAATACGACTCGTGGAACCCTTTGTGGGTGACCACTAAACTTTGTATACCAAGTAGATCCTAACCGCCCTAAGAAAGTTCACGATTATGGGTTACTCCCCAATTATCCCTACTTGATACTTAGTCAACCCGACATACCTATGGGGCCTAAATGTAGGTTCTATGACAAATGAAATGTGAAAGAGCAACTCATGTTCATTTATATATCTTTCGGGGTATACATAGGTGTTTAACACCTATAATATGGTCCTCCGAGTATTTTGTACATATATAAATGTCTAATATGCTCGAACAAACATTTAACAATCATACAAGACATGCTCGAGTCCTAAAATATGTTTGGACTAATTAAATTCCTCAAACATATAAACCCTAAATTTTAAATTTTAATTTTTCACTTTCCTCTCCCTCTCTATTCGTGATTCAGCCGCTACTCCGTTCACCGTCTTCAACTGTCTTTTTTTCCTTCCCATGCACGCCCGCGGCTAACCAATCATCACCAATTTCGATCGTCTTCTTTTTCACTACACACCGGAGACCACCCCTGTTCGGCATTTCCTTCATCTATGGTAGGCGGCGACTCAGCGGCAGTTTTCTTTTGTTCTTTCCGGCTAGGGTAGGCGTTTCCAGCTCGAATAGCTTCGGGTTCGGTGAGTGGTTGCGTCGACTCTCTTTCTCTGCTCGTCAGGCCTTCTTTCTCCTTCTTCGTCGCGTTTTCGCTGCAAGTGCCGGACGGTTCCTCCCTCGCACACCAGACCCAGCCACGAACTGGCCTCCTTCTTCGTCTGTGTGTGGTGGCGTCATCTCCGGCGCGATATTACGGCGCTTTTGTCTCGTTTAGAAGCTGAACCGATCGACTTGTGAGTATTTATTTCGAGTAAGGTTTCTGGCTGATTTTGAGTGAGATTTGAGTTAACCCATAATGTTTGACTCCGTTTCAGAATACCCATTGCCTTATAGAGCCTTTTTGGTCTCGACTTAGAAGTCTTAAGGAAGCCCCTAATCTTTGGACCTATCTTAGGTGCAGATTGATTTAATTAATTAGGATCCATAGACGACCTTTGAGTTAGAAACCCTTAGCTTTCCTCTACGTTCTTGGTGTAAGTTAAGTTATTAAATTAAAGTCCTAGTTGTTCTTGAGACTAGGATTCGCAGATTGTAAGTTGTAACTTGTTTGTTTGGACTTAAAAACCATTTAAGTGACTTTACTGCTGCTATGCCAAGTGCTGAGATGGGAATTCGTGAGCTGACTGAAATGCTATGTTATAAATGAAAAACATGATGAAAAATGCTTATCGTTCGTTATTTTCTTTCTCCTTTTGTAAGTTTGAAGGTGTACATTTTGATTCTCTTGTTTCAACTTCGATTTCATTGATTTAATTATACTCTTCTGATGCCCACTCCCTACTGTGTATGATATTATAGGTTGATTATTCAGCATTGCTTTGAGTTTGATCCAAATTAGAAGATGAAGCTTGACGTTAACGTGTTGCGCTATCTCTCGAAAGATGATTTTAGGGTTCTTACTGCTGTTGAGATGGGGATGCGGAATGTATGTACTGATTTTCTCTTCTCTAGAGGGAACTTTAACTCATCATTTTAAGTTTATTTTGTTCCTTGAACCTTACTCTAATGTAATATCTTTTGTTGTTTCAGCATGAAATTGTTCCTTCAGAACTCGTGGAAAGTATAGCTTCTCTTAAGTATGACTTCAATTCTGATATTGTCTAGAAATATTCTTTCCCTTGCTTCTAGTAAATGTCACGTCCTACTATGGTGTGTGTAGGCATGGAGGCACTTACAAAGTTTTGAAGAATTTACTTAAATATAAGTTATTGCACCACGACTCTTCTAAATGTGAGTAGCTATTAACTTATGGTATGGGAATTCTAAATTTTAAACAATCTATCTCATTATCTTTCTTGTGTTCTTCTAGATGACAGGTTTCGACTTACATACCTTGGCTATGATTTTCTCGCAATTAAAACTTTGGTCAACTGTGGAGTGTTTGTGGCTGTAGGTCGACAAATTGGTGTTGGGAAAGAGTCAGGTAAATTTCTAGCTAGTTAGAGCTTTAAAAGTTGTTTCTATTTGTCCTGTTATTATTCATTGGCTGGGTTGCTATTGTTGATTATAGATATTTTTGAGGTTGCAAAAGAAGATGGCACTGTGCTTGCCATGAAGTTGCATAGACTTGGTAGAATTTCTTTTAGGTCGGTTAAATCTAAGCGTGATTATTTGAGGCATCGCAGTAGTTATAATTGGCTTTACTTGTCTCGGCTTGCGGCGTTTAAAGAATATGCATTCATGAAGGTGCTCTGTTGTATCGATTTTGTATTGGCATTGTATTTACGTATTTTAGTGAATTGTGATATTGATGGAGGCTTCATTGGTGATAATAGGCTTTGGAAGAACATGGTTTTCCTGTTCCAAATGCAGTAGACTGTAATAGGCATTGTGTCGTTATGTCTCTCGTTGAAGGATATCCGCTGTACGTCTTTCCTTCTTGGTTGAGTAGGGTCATGAAAGATTTTGATGAGCACGTATGCTTTAACGAATATTATGATTCTATGTCGTACCATTTCGTTCCTTCTTGGTTTATTGCAGTGTGCAGGTAAAACTATTACAAAATCCAGATGTGGTTTTTGAAACAATCATTGGTCTTGTTGTTCGACTAGCGGAACACGGACTCATTCATTGTGACTTTAACGAATTCAACATTATGGTATTCTAAGAAACAATGCTATTTACTGTTCTATTATTGTCCCTTTTCCTCGCTTAAGATGATGTCTTTTCCTCAACTTAATATATGATGTCTCTTTCTCGTCTTCATTCAATGAAACAAATTATTGCTGTTTCTCGTAAAAGGGTATTCGTGATCGTTTGTTTTTTTGAACTTACAAATATCTAATTGTAGTTCAAGTTCTCTTTTGAGCTTACCACCGTTTATTCAATCTTTCTGTTCTTGTGTTTCATAGATTGATGATGATGAGAAGGTCACAATGATCGATTTTCCACAAATGGTTTCTGTCTCGCATCGTAATGCACAAATGTAAGCGGTGCAAATATTGATTTTTCGGGTTACAATGTTTCTTGTATCATATGAATCCTAAAGTTCATGTTTCTATTAACTTATGCTTTACGTGACGATCTTTTTAAGTTTCGTTTTTCCATTTCAGGTATTTTGATCGTGAAGTTGAATGCATCTTCAAATTTTTTAGGAAAAGGTCAGTGATGTTGTAAGAAACAATAAGAATGTTTGATGTTACAAGAAGTTGAAACTTTCATGTTACATACTTCTCATGGAGTTTCTCTTCAGCTAATTTGCATGCAAGATTGAAAATTCTAAAGAACAATATAATACTGCTTTTCGAGATCGTGCAGTTATGGTCTCTGTGTTCTGGTTGCAACTTTTTACGTTCCGTTCTTAACTGGACACGATTTGTGAGGTTTAGATTAGATCGTAGCAAGTTTAATCGAAGTATGTGAACGACATGTTAGAACTCGACTAGTAGGTTTGGCTGTTATCTTGAGGTGTAGCACATTATTGATATGCTAAAGACTTTCAGTTCCTTTCTCTTACAGGTTTAACATGTCATTCCATGAGACCGTGGATGACGAAAATGATGTAGAGATCGACAATGATGAAGGTGCGAGGCCTTGCTTTTCTTCGATATCGAAAGGTGCTGGAAGTCTAGACAAGGAGCTTGCTGCCAGTGGTTTCACACGAAAGGATCAGGAAGACATTGAAAAGGTATAGAAAACCATTTGGACTTAATTGGTTAACCAGTTCATTCTAAACTTATGGGCGATTGTACGACATGCAGTTTATTGAAGGTGGAACTGAGGGAGATGCAGATTCAGGCGATGAAGAAGCTGAAAGCTTCAAGTTAGATGAAATGGACACCAATGTGGTGGAACAACAGCTACACATGTCAGACGAGGTATTCATCTCATCATTCTGATTCGAACTGATCATAGTTTGAAATTTAGGATCTAGATATTGTCCTCTTTGGGCTTTCCCTTCTAGGTTTTTAAAACGTGTTTGCTAGGGAGAAGTTTTCACACCCTTAATGTTTTGTTCTCCTCAACCAATGTGGAATCTCACAATCCACCTCCTTCGGAGCCCAGCGTCCTTGTTGGCACTTGTTCCTTTCTCCAATCGATTTGGAACCTCCCAATCCACTCCCTTCAGGGCCTAACATCATTGCTGGCACACCACCTTGTGTCCACCCACTTTCGGGGCTTAGCCTCCTTGCTGGCACATCGCCCAATGTTTGGCTTTGATACTATTTGTAACAGTCAGAGCCCATTGCTAGTACATATTGTCCTCTTTGGGCTTTCCCTTCCAAGCTTCCTCTCAAAATTTTTAAAATGCGTCTGCTGTGGAGAGGTTTGTACACCCTTATAAAGAAAACTTTGTTCTCCTTCCCAACCGATGTGAGATCTCAGAATCCACCCACTTCGAAGCCCAGCGTCCTCGCTAGCCCTGGTTCCCTTCTCCAATCGATATGGGAACCCCCAATCCACCCCTTCGGAGCCCAACGTCCTTGCTGCCACACTGCCTTGTGTCCACCTCCTTCGAAGTTCAGTCTCCTCATTGACACATTGCTCGGTGTTTGACTCTGATACTATTCGTTACAACTCAAACCCACTCTTAACAAATATTGTCATCTTTGAGCTTTCCCTTCCGGGCTTCCCCTCAAGGTTTTTAAAATTCATCTGATATGGAGAGGTTTCCACACTCTTATCCCATATTGGTTGGGGAGGAGAACGAAACACCCTTTGTAAGGGTGTGGAAACCTTCCGTAGCAGACGCGTTTTAAAGCCTTGAGGGGAAGCCTAAAGAGGACAATATCTACTAGTGGTGAATTTGGGCCGTTACAACTTCGTTTTCCTCACCAACTGACGTGGGATCTCGCAATCTTTCTTAACAACTTGAGCTCTATATAATGGATGGCACTGTTTGTTTGTTGAGAATGTAGCTGATGTACATCTATTTCCCTTTTAATTGTAATTCACAGGAAACCTTTAACTGTGATGAAAGTGCAGATTGTCAGAGGAACGAAGATTCAGATGTATTGTTTCTAACCTTGTTGGTTCGCTAATAGTTTGGTGAGCAAAGGTAACAGTTGGTATGTGTTTGTGTTTTTTCCATTGCAGAGGGAGAGTGATGGTGAGGGAAGGGATGAAAGTGATGACACAGAACTGAACAGACGGTTGAACAAATCATCATGTGGTGAACATTTGTTGTTCTAGTCAAAAGTTTTAGCCTAGGCTACAATGTCTTCTTGTGTTTCTCGTGTCGGGGATGAACTTTGTATGAACGTATTCGTATTAGTGATTAAGACACATACCTTTGATTAAGAGTTTTGAAGTTTAAATTAGTTCTATTTTCACTTAAAAAGTCTTAGTCCAATTACCCTTAGCCTTTACATCTTAATTCAACTTGAGGAATAATTTGAGACTCTAGCCAAGGCCAACCAAGTAAGTGGTTCCACCATCAGCTTGGTTGGAAGAATTATTTTATGTATGATGACATGTGCCCCTGACCCTTGCACGTGTCATATGTAATGTTATGCTATGACATGTTATGTTATACTATGATATGTTGTGTTATGCTAAGTGATGTGTTATGTAAAGATATGTCAAGCTAAGCTATGTTATGCCTTCTTATTCTACCATATGTCAAGTAAAGCTATGAATGTTACGTTATGCCATGTGATGTTGAATTACGCGAAGACATGCTAAGTTGAGCTATGATACACCATGTAATCACATATGAGTAAATAGAGGAGTAGTTTACGTTATGGGTAACTGATTGAGATTTATTTTACTAAGGCTCGTAATTAATGATTTAATTTTTTTTTTTGTAATAATTTTGATTATTTCCGTTGTAATTTAACACAATAAAAAAATTCAAATTTATTAGTAGAATACCCTAATTTTGACTTGGACCAAGTCACAATTTTCAATTATTGACAAAAAAATAATAATAAAAAACTTCTCCCACCTTGATTTGACGAGTTGAACAACCTTAAATTAATCATAGGTGTATCAAATGATATTAAAATTTAAAATTAATTATCATAATATAATTCACTTAAATGTAATTTACTCACATTAAATCTCCTAATTAGCTCATTCAAATTCAAATTAATCCCCTAAAATTAAAATAATTTATCTAAAAAAATGTGGGACATTGCCCATTTATTAACTAAACATTTTAAAAACATTCACACGAGGGCAAAATTGGCAAAAAAAAAAGAAAGTAATTTCAACCATTATAAATTATAATAAGCCATTAATAAAATAAAAAATTAAAATTGTGTGAAGTTACCAAAATACCCATTTTTTAAGGATGATTCATGACAAAAAGTTAGTCAAGATAACAATGCATAAATTATGTTACAAATATTATATTCTGATTTATTATTTTCAAGAAATTAGATTAAAAAAAGTGAAAAGATTAATACATATTATAATGTAAACCATTATTAGTTTGGAAAAAACAAATAAAAAAAGAAAAGAAAAATGGTGCAAATGTGCATTGAAATTCTCACCCATATGCTAATGCTATTAAAATTTTCAATAAATAAATAAATAAAATAAAATAAAATAAAATAAAAAAACTCTTTGGTTCTTATCTCTCCTTTGTTTTATCTTAATGCCTTTTTTGGACTAAAATATTAAATTTAATTTTTTAAAACAAGATGCTTTCTATGTATTTTATGCAATTACTTGGTCAATGGTTGTATTTATATATTTATTTATTATATATATTTATTCAATACACAATAAATTATTATTATATATTTATAATAATTTTTTTATAATTTTGTATTTGAAGATGATGGTGGAGGAAACAAGTGGGTACAAAAATAATAATTAAAATATTTCAATATTCAAAAAGACCAAACAGTAAAAAAAATATTTTTGAGTAAATAAATAAATTTACTTTTATAATTTTTAAAAGACAGCTGATTCCATACAAAACCCTAATTATTTTATATATTAATTCAAATAAATTATTATATTATGCTTTAAATATTACAATAATTGAATTTCTTCCTCTCTCTCTCTCTCATTATTTAACTAATATTAAAATTTTAAATCTTACTTTACACCCTAAACCCTAACCATTAAAAATTTATTTTAATTATTAAATTTTGTATTTACATAAAGTTATTTTAATCATATAATTCTTTTTTTTTTAATTATTAATTATTGAACCAGATCTATATTCATTTAAAAATAATGCTCTGTAATTTAACTAGTTAAGGTAGAGCTAAATTAATATTTTTCTTAGAAATAATTTATTTAAAAATTAATTGCAAATAATAAAACGATTTTATATTAAAAATAAGGTCTCTCTGTTTTTGGTCATAAATTGTGATAGCGAAGCACAGAGGAGAGGTTTGAGTGGAACAGTCTCAGTGTTTTTTTTGCAGGTGAAATCATAATCCCTCCATTAATGGAGCTTCTAATTTCTTCTCTTTTAATTTTTAATATATTTTTTAATTTTTTTTATTGTGTTCGGAGGAATTGAGGTTGGAAAAGAAATGGGGTTTTGTTTTGATTGCAGAAAATTCTGTATGGAGGTACGAGAAGGGGAGGGTGGAAATGGGGTTACGGCGGCGGCTGAGTCAGATCCTTCGAGACCCGACACGACGGCTCCGGTACCGGAAGGTGGTGGTCCTGTAGGTTCTGCGGCTGTGGCGGCGAAGAAGAAGAGGGGGAGGCCGAGGAAGTATGGGCCGGATGGAAAGTTGAATGTGGCGGCGCTGTCACGGAAGGCAATATCAGGGTCGGCACTAGCACTGGCAGTGGCACCGGCGGCGGTGATTGATTTCTCGGCTGCGAAACGGGGGAAAGTGCGGCCGGCGAGTTGGTTGAGCAAAACCAAATATGAAGCGGAGAGTTTAGGTAATGAAATTTAATTACTTCTACTGATAGATGAACACGACCACCACGACCGTTCACTTTGAACCAAACATTTGAGAATTCTAGTGACATAACTAAGTTTAGGGCATGACTCTAATACGGTTGACATGACTAAGTTTAGGGCATGACTAGTGTAAGACAGTGTTAGTTAGATGAACACGACCCTCTACAACAACGACATGATATTGTCCACTTTGAACATAAACTCTCGTGGTTTTGTTTTGGGCTCTCCCAAATGGTCTTATACCAATGGAGATAGTATTCTTTGATTATAAACCCACGATCATTCCTAAGGAAAGAAGTATATATTGTAACGGTCTAGGCACTGAGTAGTGTGCTAACGGGGAAACTAAACCACTAAAGGGGTGTATTGTAAGATCTCACGTCGATTAGAGAGGAGAATGAAACATTTGATTTGGAAACGTTTCTACCTGAGACGAGTTATGTGCGATTTGGGTTGTTACTGATCAACAAGTTAAACTCAATTTATTTTATATATAAAATTTGAATTTAAGCAAAGAAATTAAAAAAACAAAAGGTGATTTTGATGTTATTAATTATTGACTTTGATTATTTTTGGTTTGGTAGCGGAATGGGTACCTTGCTCCGTTGGTGGTAATTTTACACCTCATATCATCGCTGTCAACTCGGGTGAGGTAACTCAATTATGTTAATTTTTTAAGGTTTAAGGTTAATGTTTCTATATTTCGATGTAACGATGAGATGTTTGTTATGTTACTTTAGGACATAACGATGAAGATTCTCTCATTTTCTCAACAAGGGCCTCGAGCCATATGCATTCTGTCTGCTAATGGTGTGATTTCGAGCGTCACTCTTCGTCAACCGAATTCTTCTGGAGGAACATTAACATATGAGGTTGTCCTTTCTTTTTTTTTTTTTTTTTTTTTTTTTTTTTC